ACGAGTGTTTACTTATTCTTGTTTTTCTAGTTTTGTGACTTAACAATCGAATTGCCAGGCTGTTTCCTGCCAGATCAGAACATGAACAAATTAAATTTAAATATTAATTATTAAAATTAATTACCTATAACATAATAAAAGTATTTTTATATTGATGAACTGTTGTTTGCTCAACTTTACATTTACTAACTTGCTTAGAGAAACAATGCTACGATTTTAAAAGCGCTCTATTAGCTAAACATTTTGAAAATGAACTGTAGAGCTTACATTCACTTCAGTATTTATAATTATCATAAATAATCATTAAAAATTAATTATATTATATAACATATAATTATTATTATTAAATAAACAGGGTGATTCACTTTCTGGCCTCTTTTACTTAGTAATAATAATTAGAAATACTTTAAGATTTTTAGTGTTTTTCACAAAATTCCAGAGTCGTTAATTCCGCTCATCTATTATGTAAGGAGAATTGACCAATTTAAAATATTCCCAAAGAAGGTGAACTTATGCATCATTTACGAGAGTAATATCAATTTTAAGTTTTAAAGAGCATAATTTCAAAACTAACCATAAATCCGCTGTAACGCTGACAAGTTTAACCTAATATACTGAGCGGAATTAACGATTCTTGTAGTACTATTAATGATATTGAAATGTATGTCTGTCCTACAGGGCTTTAAAAAAGAGGATTGAGATCCTAATAAGTTAATAAATATAAAGTTAAGCAAAGACTGGGTCAAATACGCGAATAATTATAAAAATACGTGTTTTTAATTAGCTCACGTTGTCCCAACTTAGGAACAGCGAGATTTGATCTGGCTGGAAAGACCTAGTAGTTTGATTGTTCAAGTCACAAAACTAGAAAAACACAAGCTAGTAAACAGAAACAGAAATGGTAGAAGCATTGAGATGTTACGAGAAGTTAGTAAATTGACCTTTTTTAGAAACACTGCAGTTGTCTTCGGATCAAACTGAAGTTTCAGAATCTTCTATAAACACCGCATTTGTTTAAAAATAATGGTCTATGTAATTATTTACATTTAATAGTAGGTACATTTATAATGTTAAGTTTATCATTTAATACATTTTTGATAGTCGACATGTGCCCAGAGCTGAGCAAGTAGTTAGGAATTAAATTTTAAAATTACTTTTTGGTATTTAAATACTTTTTGGTAGTTAAATACCATGTATTTAACTACTTTTTCAAGAATAGTATTTATAATTGAACCGTCAATTACTTTCTCTAAGTAATTAGTAATTAGTATTTGAAAAATTTGTGTAAATACTTTCATAAATGCCCCCCGCATCAACGCAAAAACGCATCCAACCCGTGAAAGCTTTTAAAGATTTTGGAGTGTTACCAGCAGTTCTCATTAACTCACTTGGCGATAATTAGCTTGAGGTGGATGCAGACGGGTCATGTGCTGATTTTGATAGTGCAATGGCTTATCCTGAAGATCATTTTTCGCACACAGAACTAGTAATGGAAAGCTGTGAGAAAAAAGTTGAAAAATCCCAAATTCATTTGCCTAAACATCATCGTAGCGTAACGCATTCGTGTAATTTTATAGGACTTTATGAAACTCATAAACCAAACTCTATCACGCAGATCAAAGCACGCTCTGGTTCTTAATAAATGTTCCTAACTATGGCAGGACAATAAAGCAGGACGACGAAAATCAGCTGAAATAATAAAAGATGTTCTGGGTCATTATTTAAGCTAGGCAGAAGCAACCAGATGGAATTATCAGTATGATTCGGTAAAACAAATTTTGAAAGTTAAGGACAAAATTACAATTCCCTATGACAAATTAGAAATAAGGACTAACGTCTCAAAAGAGACTGACTGATTATTTATCGGAATATCTAAAAATTTTAGAGCCAATTGCATCAGCAATATATTACGTGAAAAAAAAACAATTAGTTTGGATTCGTTATTCCTACGATTGCCAGCATGAAATCTAAATTGATCAAATTAAAAAACGAAAAATTTTTGGTTTTACATCCTGACACGCCAGATGCAATTATTGCATCTATAACCCATCCCAGATTTAAACTAAAATAGTTAAATTTAATATGGAATATGGAAACAAATACAAATGCCAAAAGATCATTTAAAAAAAATGTTTTTAAAGGCAATTAATGAGACAGCTGAAACTCAAAAAACGCCTCTTCCAGAACTGGATAAGAAGAGTTCTTCATTCAACATGGACTTCTTTGCGTTTGACGACAAAGAATTGGGTACATCAGCCAATGATTATGATTCAAATGGGCTTAGTGAATTGCCAGCTTTGCAATAACTGCAAGATCCCAGTTTTGAGCTGGAAATATTGGACAAATCTAAGTATAATACCACTTTACCTTCCTCAGCACCAGTTAAGAGAATATTTTCTTATGCCATTTTTATAAATGCTCCTCGCCGCCATGCACTATCAGACAAAAACTTTTAAAACCTAGTGCTATTAAAAGCTAATGGTAATTGGTATTAAATAATACATTTTAACCTTTTTTTATAGTTTTTGTCTGATTGTTATCCTATTTCATCAGTTCCTATGCTACGTATTATTTTTTTTGTAAATATTATTATGTATTGTTTCTGAATGATATTAAATGTTTAAAAAAATATATTTTTTTTGTAGTTTGATAAATATAGTACATATATGATTTATCAGTGATGTTGGTGTACTATAATATGGCAGTTGAGAAGTTAAATACTTTTTTGTATATAAATACTTTACTAAAAGTATTTGTTAACCAATTACCGGCATATTCTAATCATTAATTAGTAGTTAATTAGTTTTTTTAATGTTGGCAGTATTTGGTTATTGTATTTAAATACTTTTTAAAAGTAATTTGCCCAGATCAAGTGAGATCAAAGAGAAATTTTAAAAAATTTCAACATTTGGCCTAATAACTTGTTGGCGTGCTTGTTACATTCAGAGAGAGTAGAAACCGTAAAAACTTAGAAACCGTTTAGAGCTCTAAAATTTGACGGTAAATCAAAAAAAATAAATTGGAGTTCCATTAGAAATAGACAAGTTATTGAGATTAACAAACATGCAATTTTGGATGCACATTGGGCGGTTTATAGGGATATTTTCGCAAATTAACATATGTCAGCACGTAGCTTACTAAATCCTCTTGGAGGCCTATAAAAACGATTTAGAAATTCGCAGCTATTCGGATTCAGCACCAATTTCTGTGGAGCCCAGCAGCTGTCAAAATTTTCATATTTTTTCTCGAATAATTCGAAAATTGTAAATTTTTCAGATGAAACATTTGAAATAAACTTTCATTAAAGATTAGCGATAAACCCAAAATTGATAAAAAAGGGCTACCATAAAAAACAATAGTTATGCAATTTTAAAATTGCATAAATACTTAATTTAAAAATGTTTTAAATGCGCATCTTTTAAACATCAAAACTTTCGAACCTATGAAGTGTGTTTTCTTTTAAAGTTCATATTTACTAACACGCTTTGACGCACAAAATGAGCAACCCTGTTATATAATCCAAAATCCAAAATCCCCCAAAATATCAGATAATTCTGATATGTTTTAGACTAAATGTTCAGCTTAGTAGGAATGAAGGCAAGAAATTATTAAATAAGACATTTCTTAATTTGAATGTATTAAAGTGTATGAGTAGTTAAATATTGCTGAATAATTATGCAAAACTACTTGTAAATGAACATAACTAATTTCCTGCAAAATGCCCCATTACTCTACTTAATGCAAGTAGCAATAACGTATTGACCGTATTGTGTAATGTTTCCAGGTTTGATTGGTAATATTTCTTCATGGGTATACATTTTGCTAATCAATAAAGCAAACTCAAAACATTAATTATAAACAACTTTTTGACTATACTAATAGATGTTTTTAATATAATACCACAATAGATAGAAAAGCTAACCCCTAAAACGCCAGTGTAAACATAGCTAACCACTTGTTGATGGCAATAGATGTTTCTGGGGTTAATTTGCCTCAATAAATTGACTGAAGCAAACGATGAATTAGAAAATATTCCGTATTTTTTTCTACAATAGCAAAACTGAAAACGTAGCATTCAATTATTACCTGGATTAATCCAAATGCGTTCTTCGGTTGAATGGCTGGAACACGAACAAACTAGCATTTACTACGTAGACTGAAAATTTTAACAATTAATCTCGATGTACACTTCACAACCAACACTTAAAATTAGCATAAATACGATCCAAAAAAAGTTTAAACTGGCCCTAGTTGGGAATTTTAAACAAAAAACAGTTAAAAGTGACACTTTCTGATAAACTTTACACAACAACACTGACTTGAAGCTAGACCTAGGTTAGTAGAAAATAGTTCTGAGTCAATTTGAATTTAACAGTTATTGCATTAAACGAAAACGTGTTTTGTTAAAATACGGCAGAAATTCGCTTAGTCTAAATTTTCAGCTGGTAATAAGAAGGTTTTTAGTTATTTTGTAAGCGTACAAGTTTGAAACTTTATAGAAGTGACAACACTGAGAAAGGCTGAAGATTGATTAGATGGAATTCGTTAAGTCCAAGATTTCAAAAAAGATTTTTGCCTTACGTTCCTAACAACTCTTTCTTTAATGAAAGAGCAATATTTGAAAATATTAAGTGAAGTAACTTCAAACTACATTCCAGAAAATTCCTTAGTGAAAACTACAACTTTATTAAGAGATTTATTAAGAGAATATTAATGTACAAATATTAGCAATAATAGTTTAATTTGTTTATTTCAAAGTATTAGTTTCGAGTTATTTAGAATATTTTAAAATTTATTTAGGTGCTTACTACCTTCATAATCCACTACTTTTAATGTCACCGCATACGCGATTGATTCTAGCTTCACATTGATCCAAGTTATGAAAATTGCTCAAACCTTATTTCCGTACATAAGAAGGAATAATTGAAACTTTTTACGTAGTTTTTGTCCATTCTTGTCTAACACATCGGAACTGACTAAAGCTATCCTTCGTTGACCTTTAAAAAATTGACACAAACATGAGAGAAATTCATGGTGTCCTGCCATTTGACATTTATGTCGATATATCATTTTGGCATTTAATCAAAATGTCAAATTTTTGCAGTGAAAGGCTATGTGTTGTTTATATTGATTATATAATATTTAAGCGATTTTCCGCTTAAAATACTGAGTGCGAAACCTTTCCGATACATTTTTGAAGGGAATAACTACAAAATGACAAAAGTGTGTCGTCTTTGCCTGGTCAAGCTTCAAAGAGGATCCAAGTACTTCAATATCAACGCAGTCGAAAGTTTCACTGGATTCATGCCTTATAGAGATCAATTAACAACATGTATTCCTGAAATGGTAAATTACATGACATATTATGACAGGTTTCTGCATTCCAAGTCTCCATATAGTTAGGGTGTAGCCTCCATTCAATCTAGTATTGATGACATATTTTTAGGCTCTGGATCTGATTCCAAATCCTGTGATTTGCAATAATTGTCGCAACGCTTTAAAATTATCGTATGAGTTCAAATCACGATGCCTTTTAGTTGAGAAAAAAATCAGACAGTATGTGGAGGGTCAACCTCCAGAAACTACCACCTACAATCTATTGGAAATTGACTCATCAAATTTACCAAAACCTGCAAAATTTGAAGCTGAAGGTTCAAAGTAAGTCTATTACCACCATAAATTGGTTTTGGTTTATTATCCAATGCGGAGAAATGCTTGGGAATGCAACAGATCAGTTAATATTGTATTTAAGATGCACTCTGTTTCTTTGCTTCTAAATCACTTATAATTTATTATAATCACTGTATATTTTTAAAATTATTGACACAACTCAATGATTGATTTCCTCACATAGAAGGGATGCAATAATTTGAAATCCAGTTGTATATGAACTCTAAATACCTACTGTCGTAGAGATTATTATTTTAAATATATTATCTCTTCGTTAATTCAAGAAATTATTAGAATTTACAATGAGAAAATAGCGTTTAGAATCACTGCGAGTGACCAAAAGTAGTAACAATATTGTTCAACTTCAAAAGTTTTCAGGTTGTTTTCAATAAAAGGTATATCAGAATGATATAGTCGCAAATAAAATACTGCGATCATTTTATTGCACTTTTGGTGCCATTCCGCTGGGTTGAAATGTTCTTCCATGATTGATGGAAAGCCAATCCATTCAATTGCTTTTTCCAATTATAATTAATATTAAGTAATTATTAATCTCCCTGTCTTCAGATAATCCCGGATTAATATTAAGATACAATAACACTGATATTGTCTTCCTGATCAAAAATGATGCAAAACAAAGCTATTTCAACTTTTTTAGGCTAAAGGTGACTTTGGTTTAATATTTGTAAGATTACAAATACCACTAGTGCTATCGGCGGTGCCTATATAAATTTTCATGTAGTAAAAACAATTTAATAACAGGACAATTAATACAAGGACTGTAGGAGGAAAATGGAGTTGAGGTTCCAACTTTAAGAAAAACTAAAATGCATACACGAAAACACTGAAAATTATGCAATTTTAGGGTTGAAAACGGTTTTTTGCGATTTGCGGCGAAACGTGACCTCCTAGCGGAAAACGTTCAAAGGATCTACGAAGTATCACGGATATAGAGACGTAAATTTTGCCTAAGTTTGTAACAACTTTTGTAATGTTCTATGGTTATATTTTGTTATGACCATTATTTTTTTGTTTGTTAATGACCATTAATCTACTTTAAAATATGGCTTAATACCAAAGTTGTAGAATTTTTATTAAATTTGGTTGAAGCGTTTTTACATTTCAATGAAGAATGTTATTTTTGAACAAATCAATCTCTGTATCAGCTCTGTATACCTACCGGAGATACAGTGAAAATGCCGGGTGGTTTCTTTTTTCCTTTCTGTGACTACTCCTGTCGGAAAATGTAAGAAGTTAATTTGCAAATGTTAGAATATGGTAAACCCAATCAGGTTAAATGAGGACGAAGTTGCCAATTTTCATGCTGAACTAGTCTTTTAAAAGTTTGAAAATGTCGACCACTTTCGGAGAAAACTACATTGGCCTGGATCCCTTTTCTGAGCTTGTTTGTAGAGTTAGGTATATTAAAATATTTTTCACATTACCAGATATGAAACGCTGCTCAAGAATGTTCTATGATATTTAAAATCAAATGTTTCTTTATGGAGGCACCATCATCTATTTATGTTTTTAAATACGCACCTGTATAGAATTACATAGGAACTAGAAAACCAAGTGATCATTCTTAAAATCGAGTTTAAAAGTTTGCAATCGTTCACAAATGATTTGATCGTTTGCTTATCTTTGAGTTATTTTACGTACTTGGAAAATGAAACCAACCGCTTTTTTTCTTTAAATTTAAACATGAACAGTTGGAAGTTAAGTGTATATAATACACTCGGCTTCGAAAAAACGACACGTATCTATTTTTCTTAGTAAATTTGAATGTTTAAAAAATGTATACTAATTACTCGGTTTCAATATATTTTTTTCTAATTTCTAGGTTGCTTTTTCGGCTATTATCTCAAAGGTTAAAAATTTTGATTTTTCACTTTCCATTACAAATAATTACAAATAATATAGTCCCTTTTTTGGTTTCTTTTTGTCATTACTTTTGAAACTGCGATTTTGTTTTATCTTAAAAATTAACAAAATTACAGCATATTTACTAATTGCCTATGTTTTTAACATTTTATTGAACCAACGGACAGAATGTGGTGTTTGATGTGTGTGTGATTTGTGAATGTTTCAACAAACTGATAAAAAACAGGTTTTTTCTTTGTTATTTGTCCTGAAAAATAGCGAATCAAAATTTTCTGACTCTTGAGATAATAGCCCGAGATTTAAGCTATCAACTAAAAAAAAATTATAAAATCCGTTAATTGGAATTGAAGTTAGAGTGCTTTGAACTTTACGAAATATTCTGGTGCGCCTATTTTTTTAGTGTATTTTTAATTACTTCTAAAGCTTTGCTTCATTGGTGTAACCAGTTTTTTTTAATCCGGCGGAAAGAACTCACACGACAGGATGATCTATCTACACCCAAATTAATTTTGTATATATACATACTAATACAACATATTAGTATGTTGCGAACAATTTCGCTGCAATCGTTTTTTCCGATAAATTACCGCCCGTATAATATATGATGGTTTTGCTTTAGAGAATGTCCAAAGCTTTTACCAATATTACCAAAAGGAGAAGGGAATACCACATCTTCAAACCAGTCTATTCTATCTAATCTTCTAACTGTAAGAGAGGAAGTGTTGCTGCCGAATCTATCGGAAATCGAGATTACAAACATAAAATACGAAGCAACACCAGGAAAAGGTAAGTTAATTACATTATCGCTTTGAATCAAATAATAATACTCGATTGAAATTTACCAGAGACGTCGAGTAGATCAAAAGCATCCGGTTCAGGAAAACAGGTCACTTACACGCCAATAGAAAAGGACGAGCATGGCTGTTTTACATGTAATCACTGTGATAAAAAATTCCCTAATGTACCTGCGCTTCACACCCATAAAACCAGAGTTCACGAAGAGGATTATTTGTGCAACTTTTGCAATGTTCCTTTCAAAACATTGCAGAATTTGAGAAAACATAATCAGATGTGTCAAAAAGGTAGGTATTTGTTCGGATGGAATTTCTGTTTACCTAGTAATTTTTCTGCCTACATGTGCTCTATAAATACTAGAATTGAGTTACTTAATTTGAAATCTTTATTAGCTATTTGAATGAATTTTGAGTGCGGCATAAGTAAAGAAAAGGATAAATAGAAGTACCCATTTTCAAGTCAAGAGTTTGCAATCCAGAAAAAACGGAGATTTGCGGTTTACATAGACGTAATATCCCGAAACGAGCGAACTCGAAAGTACCCTGTTCTTGAGAAAATTCATAGACAAAGAAAAATTATATAAGTCATTATAATGAGTAGTGTGGACTATTCGTCTATGTGTTTTAGTTATATCTATTTTAATAAAACTAAGTGAGTAAATTATTATTATACCAGAAAATACACCGAGAAGGCAATTTTGATAAGAATATATTGATTTACCCCATTGCAGATGACAAAATGATAGTGTACTGAATTTAAATAAATTTGTAGCAAAGTTTGGGTCAGCGACACCCTCACATTCAGTTTTAGCTAAACGACCACATCTACCAACAAAAGCGAAAAATCATCTTAAACGATGGTTATTTAACCACACTGACGTGAGTATATTGAGTTCGTTAAAATAAAATAAATTACAGCAAACATTTTACCACCTCGAAACGGAATCTCAAAACGTTTAAGTTTAAGCATGTAATGTGTTATACGATTTTTGTTTAGAATGTCGAGGATAGTTCAATTATCAATACGGGGTGTTCCATTTAAGAAAAAGGAACATTGCTTTGCCGTTGCTTTTTGGCTAATGCTGTTAACTAAATTATTCTTTAAGTAAACACACTAGAAATAACTATTCAATTTTTGCATTAATCATTATGTTCTAGCTCTTTTAGTTTATAAAATAATCCGCGGTTTCCATACATAAAATCTTCCCTGTATATTAGACCGGATCTTTGAGTAAATTATTCCATTTCAACACTATTTAGCGAACAATGGCACACATATATTGACTATTATTGAACTTTTAGCACCCTTATCCGACAGATATTGAAAAGCAACAACTGATGAAAGAAACGAATTTGTCCCTATTACAAGTCGAGAATTGGTTTATTAACGCTAGAAGACGAATTTTGGCCGATTTGACAAGGCTTAAAAATATGAGAGGTGGTTGTTTCCGAGGCAGGCGACTTGGAAGAAGTCGGGGTCGTGGGCGAGTCGTTGTTGGTAAGTCATTAGAACTGAATAACAAAGTCATTTTAGAAAACCGAGAGTCAATTTCTAGTTAATAGTGTCGTTTATAGTATGAATGGTAAAAGGGTTAAACAGCGTAAACGCAGACTTGCAGAAGTGATAAATAAATTATATTAATAAAATATTTTTATAAATAAATTATATAAATAAGATTTTTTCAAATGTCAGGTTTTTACATTCGTAATTTTTCTAACGCGTTCTTTTGTAAGCATATAGAAAATGTGTTGAAAATTCAAGGTCGTGTCGACCACCACAAGTTAGAGATGCTGCAAATGTTGGTTCCAACCTTGAAACAGCTGCTTTCACTGTATGGTGTTTGTATAAGTTGCATTTTTGCATGAAATTTGTGCTATTTAAATGGTAGTTTTCACTACTATGTCTTTATCTGAACACCCGAATGTCTCAATGTCATAATGTCATGACGTTGGTGTCACATATCAAAAGTGTTTGACATACGCCACTGCGACATCGTGACATTGGCGATGTCTCGGTGACATTTTGACATTTCTTGAAGGTTATCATTCTTTGGCATTTTCATTTTGTTTGGTTTTAAATCATGTTCCCTTTTGATTTGATTACATTTCTGGAATATTAACAATCCTACCCATGTCTATGGCATAAATCAATTGCCGATTATCAGGATAGACAAAAACGTTCACTTAGTAGAGGTTCTGATGCCCATAGTTTGTTTCTACGCATAATTTACTGTCTCATACTAGCTTTTTAAATTTTTGCTTAAATTTCAAAATAATTACTTCTGCTAACACATCCGCTACTGCATGCAGACAGGAGCCATTTTGACGAGAGTCTGTCGCGACACAATCTGTTGGTGAGTGTTAACACCTAGTGCCATGACATCGAAAATGTCGAAAGCTGTCACGGTGCGTAAAAGTAAAACAAATGAATATTAGAGAAAAGTGCTTCTTTACGATCATCGCTTCTGATCAAAAAATTGCAGTTTTTCATTCATTTGAATAAAAAATATATTCTTTTGTAGTTGGTTTAAATTGGCTCACTTATTAACTCTCAAACATATTCATATCTATAAATTTGAACATGAATGCGAGCACTTTATGCATTTTCATTTACTAGTAGTTACTGGCTGATCGGAACTGACCTTATCTGAATGTTTCAAAGGTAAAACGGGCCTGAACCCAAACTAATTGAAAATTTATGTTTAATTGGATGCTGCGTCATTTGAAAAAGATAGTACTGTGCTTCGGTACGTTTTCCTAATTATTTTGCCATATTTAGTTTTCTGATTCTTTTCTTTTTTAGCTTTTTTTACGGATAATATTTTTGTAATCACCTCTATTATCAATTGCAACAATGCAAAAATACAATGCATTATTTTATTATAAGCAATCCATTATGATCAAATTTCAACTGTATTCATTGTCTACATTTGAATAAAACTAGATCAAAAAGTAAAACAAACAATATTTTTGAGCCATTTGCTAGAAAAGTAAAGTAAAGAAGCAAGAAAAATGGCAGAAACACCATAATTACGTAGTTCAAATTTTATGAAAAGAAAATAAGACAACTGCTTTTCCTTTGAAATGCTGTGAGAAACAGCAAACATTTTTAATTAATTGCAAATTGCTGCGAAATTGAGATGCATACTTTGCTTAGCGTAAATTCGGCTTAGAGTAAATCTGTCTCTTATCGCAGAGGCATTTCTCACTTTCTTAACTTAAAAATAACCAAGTGTTTCCATACAAGTCTGCGAAAATGGAGCGTGATTTCGTATACATATTAGTGATGGGAACTATCGAATCATTCGATAGCGATGTTTCAATCCGTGATTGGATCTATCGAATTATCCGATAGTTGTAATTTGAAATTAATAAATTTGAATTATTCGATACCAATGTTTTATTCATTTGTTTTCTAATTATCGGATACTCCGAAATCGATTGCAATGAACGAATTCAAATCATAAATAAATACATTTTCCACTGTTTAAGAAAAATATCCAATATTCAATTATGAAAATTGTTTTTTTTTTTCAAAAATTTATTTATTGAAAAAGTATATATCTATATGTACATTTTGAATAAGTACTATTAGCAACAGTATTAAATACGACTAATTTGCAGTTTTCATTATATTATTTCAATAAAAGTAGTAAATACAAACATTGAGATACAATAAATATGAATAATTGACAACAGAAAGGACAAATACATTCATAAAACAAAAATTAAATTAATAATTAATGTTTAATTATGTATAATGGTATATATATTAATATGGTATAATTTAATGATTATGAAATCCATGATTATATCACCTTTTGTGATAAAGACATCAGAAAACGATGCTTGAACCATAATCGAAAAAAAATATGCTCTTGTTTAAGAGTTTTTTCAAACCCGGATCGTCGGATAAATTAATTGCGGTTAGCATTAATAAAATCAATTGAGAGTATTTTTAAGAATCTAAAAAACAATTCAAAAATAGAGTTTTATTCAGTTTATACCATAAACTGACTGGGTGGTTGGAATTCACGTTGCCGACACTTTTTATAGCGACACTAGAAGAAGATTTGTTTGAAGATGACAATGATGCATTATTTGAAGACGGAGACCACGAAGAAACTGTTGTCGCCTCGCAGTTGATACAAAATTTGGATCATACGAATTCCAAGATGAGTTTCGAAATGCACGGGCTTCATTCTGAGGACAATTCGTTTGAAGATGAGAATCAAGGCAAGTATTTACACGCAAACAACAAACTGTAGCAAATAATAAAATTTCAAATATTTTATAGCAATGTCAGACAAAGACGACGACGAGGACGTACTCGATGTGAAAAATATAATAATTCAAAACCCGATCGAAATTGCGTCGATAAGTCCAATCGATCACAATCAAGGTAGCGCTGAAAATACTGACGAGGAAGACCCTTTGGAAGATGCTCCCTTGAGTACGATAACCTCTCATATTAAAATGGAAATTGATATAGATGAACGGTAACTTCCGTAAAGAGATCGTTCTTGAGTATTCCATATCTGAAAATCTGTAAACGAGATACCAGCAAGGTAGCAGTACTGACTAATGTAAATTAACGCAAGGCAAGCGTCTCTTCAGAATGTAAATTTGTTTTGATATCAGTTGGAAGGGAGAGTGAGAAAAGCTTTTTAAACATTTTTTCATGGGACTATTTAGATTTGTTATGCCCTTATTTACGTGCGATAACATAATATGTTAAATTTCATTAAAATCTGCTGGTGAGAAAATGTGAATCGTTCATATTAAATTCCGAAGACATAAAAAAGTTGTTAAATGTAGTATAGTAACATACTGAACCCACATATTATTTTTAATTCAAATAATTTGATTAAGTATTATTATCACAATTTCAAAATTTGTTTTCAGTTTCACCATTGGATCACATAGTGAGACCATTTTATTTTGTAATTAAAGCTAAAGGAACTTCTTCCCAAAACTTTTTTCGAAGTAATAGTTTTTTTTATAATATAATAATAAAATTGGTGCAGGTCAACTACACAGACCGATTAAACCATAAATCAATTTTAATAACAAAAAATATATCGCAAAGTCTAGCATCCATGAAATGTTAAGTTTTTTCCCATAAAATTTGAAATTAATGATGAATGGTTGAATGAGTGAATACTTTTTATGGCGAATATAAAATATTTGTCGATTTGGAACCGCCTATCGAAAAAATGAAAAAAAAAACAATGTTTTTATTTGTTTGTTATTTGGCTTTATTTAGTAATAACAATATGTTGACTTTTATTAGCAAACTTTATATACAGGACATTTACATACATTGCGTATTTAGATATACTTTATATGTATGTTTATGATATAAACATGTGAATTATATCATAAATTAATTAAACCATCTGTTTACCATAAACCATATTTTAATCATTCTTATTCATCTTCATATTTCTTGTGGGCATTTCTCTGTAAACCCCAGTAATTCCATTTTATTTATTGAGCAAAAGCATTTAATAAAAATGAGATAATTTGATTTGTATCCAATTTCAAGAATAGAAGGAAGTCAGGGGGGCTTGAAAAATTAATGAAAAATCGATCGAGCGTTAACTGTTTATATATTTATTAATACCAAGAAAATGTAAAGCTGTTCTGTTAATACTTTTGTTAATCACTTTATTGCAAAACCCAGGAAAAGGGTTTTTTAAATACCAACATTCATAATTTATTCGTTGTTAATAGCTTTATATAATTTTGTTTGTACTTTAGGAAATGATTGTACATAAAATGTAAAACTAAATTAGTCATGTATCTTGGAATTATATGGCTAAATGGTAATGTATGTGTCACTATATGCAATTTATTGTTATTTGATATATTTATGAAGGTCTGGTACATTTAAGCGACCTTAATTTAAATGAAATAATTAATTTAATGAGTTAAATTTGGATCACACTAATCTAGTATGAATAAAACCTTGAAACATTGTTAGGCATCAACTGGAAAAGTGTGCTGTAAAAATTAGGTTTTACAACTTTAAGGTGTCATGGGTGTAGGCTTTTAATTTACAAGTTGTTTTTTTATTTAATGGTTTTTATCAATGCCCTAACTATTTTGTTTGTATCGAGTTATAGTTTATTTTTACACATTAAGTCTTTACGTCTAATATAAACACTTCTATAAACAGTTTTTCTGTTTAGAAATGTCAATGATTAAAATGTTATGTCCGTAATCATCCCATAAGTTAAAACAATACACGGGATTTTAATGCTACGGCCATGTCACATGGATAGTGTGATTAGATCTAAACGTAGATTATTACGATCCTTTTTCCGAGATGAAAATAACGCGCTTAACGTCCTAATTGTATGTCCAATATAATGTGCCTCTCGAGTTCAGCAGTAAGTAAATATATTGGGTATGGTCTAAAGTGTGGTAATACTGGAGAAACTGTTTTACGGCTCAGCAAGGATTGGTTTAGTGAATTTAGTGAATCATTATCAGAGGTCGAAACGTAGAAATTATCCGAAGTTAGTAGGTACTGTAGGTAGAAAAATTATACATATCGGTTCATTTTTTATTATGATACAATAATCAAAGATACACATAGCCTACTAACCAATATTGCCATAAGGAAAAATATTTATTTTCTTTTCTCCCTTAAGTGTCGAATTAAACGAGATGATTTTTCGTCGTTTAAGATCGTATTACATTATTTCGTATATCTTCAAAAGTCGTATTTTATTGTAATACTGTTCACCCTTTAATATGAACTATATTACTGTAATATACTAGCAGAAATGAGTATTCTTTAGCGTATACAATATAGTTACAAGAAGCCATATGTCTAAATTTGTAAATATGATTTTACAAGACGTAAAGTGATATTTTTGTGAATCATTTAAATACTGCAATAGTGACTGACAAGGCAATGTTTAAAAATCTGTAATAACTGCGAAAATAAATCAAGTTTTCCAGATATTAAATACAAATTCACAAAAAATCTCTTAATTTGTAAAGGTAAGTATGACGGAAAATGCTCATTGGTGACTGGAACGAGCCATTTTTTTTTTATTATATCACAGACTGACATAGCAAATAAACATTTAAAATATTACATAATATATGACAATGTAGCTCTATATCAACAGTAACAACGCATCTTTGATCCATTATTTCGGATATGAGAAACTAACGAATTGTCACTGTTTAATTCCTGAAGCTGTGTTACCACAAAAATAAAACTATGCGATACCGTATAATTTGCATTATTAGATTTGTATATACAGAGTTACAAACTAGTTTACGTATACTGGAAGAATTGTTTAAAGAAAAACACAGATTTTCAGATTGTAGCTTCTAAGATATTACTTAAGAGCAGTTCGGTTCAATTAGTCAGATGTGTGCGTGTAAATTTTCAAGCTCCAAAGCTTCACTTCCACCACGTCTCTAATTAATACTTAAAATGGTGATTTTACTATCAAAATCGAAGACAACGGCATGCCATAATCTGTGTTCTTCTCAAATACATAAACCTAAAACCATTAAAATATACAACTACTACATCGAAGAATTCCTTAAATTTAGTAACATTATGGATGGAAATTTCACATATTCATAATTTTTAAAGACCTTAATCTATTTATTGTAATGCGGGTTTTACGTATATAGGTTGCAATTAGTATACTTTCGTTGAAGCATTAGTGTACTCAAAAATCGTAGATATACACTAGGCTAATAACAAGTTAAATAATCTAATCAACATGTACGTGGAATGTATGTAAATGTAAATGAATATGTCACAAACCTTTGTACTTTAAAAATCGTATACTCGTTTTACATAAAAGGAATTTTAGTCATCACAATTGTGTTGCGTATACTTAAATATTAAATTAATTGCATAAAGTTAAAATAAGAACCTATGAATAATAATTCACAAAATAATGTTAAATGAAACTAAGTAAAAGTGAAAATCAGGAGATTATTACCATAAGAGTAACATCGAATGGAAATGACGAAGAAATATAGGAATGTTAATTTTTTTATTAAGTAAAACGCTGTAGCTTTTTTAATTTTCGGTTTTTTAACAACCAGCAATTAGTAATGCACAACACGAAAGAACCTTTAAAAACACAAAAATCGTGTAGTCTTACCTTTCAAAAATGAGCCAATTTCGATAGAAATTGAATATATTTTCGATAAATTTCAATTGGATCACGGTTCTTGCCACCAAGATTCACTTATACTTATATTTTTTAACAAATGAGTTGGCATTGCTCTTAGGAGATGTGCACCTTACTAGGAATTCCATGTGGCTCTTCAAGTATCAAGATGGAACTTTTTTCAAGTTATTTATAAGAAAAGGTTGCGTAATGAACAAAATTTTTGCATTTTTGTGCGCCTCAATGTGTAATACATATTTAAACTACGCGTTTTGTGGAAAAAATGTCAATGTTTTTTAATTCAGATTCTGCCTAGTAAATCGGGTTTCTAATTCTGTTACCGTATGATAGAAAAACGGGCTGTGTAGCGCAAAAACAAAATAGTGTCGTAACTTATAAAATTTTGGCCTTTTCTTCCACCCAGATCTACCCAGGTTACTACCTAAGCTACGCCACATTATGCTTTCATGATTTTTTAAATGAAACACGCCCGGAAAGATGCTGGATAGCACGAGGCTGGTGTGTAGAGTGAGCTCCTAGATCGCCCGATTTAAATCTGATGAACTTTATCACCGCACCACCGTGACGAATGTTGAGCAACTAACCGAACCAATTGTTAAAAATTGTGCGGAAATTAGAAAAAAAGGTCGAAATATTTTCTTGACTGCACCGCAATTAATCCGCATTCAACTAGAACACTACTTGAAAAATTTGTTATAAAACTATTACCGAATGTAATAAGACTTTAAATTTTATTACAGCATTTGCTTTCAAGGCACTTTGTAAAAATGGTTCAATTTCGTGCATGTGAACTGTTATTAGTATACTGCAAGACAGTGTTCACAGAATATTTTACTCGAAAATGGCTTAGTTCTGAAAAGTGGAACAAGTACACCTTTTTTGCGTGTTTTATGGGTTATTTTGTTTTGTGCATTTATTAGTAAAAATAAAAAAGTGTTGACTTCACACCAATGCTCATTTCGGCCCTTGTAAAAAATATAGAAACAAACAGCAATACTTCGCACTTGAAACAATCAAATAATAAAGTTTTGCAAGACATGCGATCAGTTATTGGTGCAGGCATTTCACAAGACGTGTTCAAGGAAGCGATAAAAGAATGTAGAAATGTATTATGTGACAATGGGACTAAAATATAAATTAAGATAACAAAAAAAGAATAGGCTCCTGTGTTAAAAGCGTAATCGCAGAATACAAAAAAAAACATTAAAAGCATCGGAGATGAAAGTATGAGACCGATAAGCATGGCGGTAAACAAGCAAAAAACCATTTAAAAAATAAATCGTTTCAGTTTTTGAACACTTACCAACTTGAATCAATACCTGCTCACGCATATAGCGCCTAAAATTTTTAGTTCGCCATTATCGGACTACCTGTATACAAGCAAAATGTGTTTATGAACTAAACGTTCCATTAAAACATAAGCTGAAAATGTGGAAGTGTCTGTTCAATTAGAAAGATTCTATTAATAGTCAAAGAAAGTTGGACTAAGCATTAAAAATAGTTATGGGATCTAGATATCTAATCCTATCAATCTTCGAATGAGATGATTAAACGTTGGATTTTTGAGTACACTAATTAATTAATTAATTTGTTTCAGATATCCTAATCCTAAATAGTCCAATTATAATTTGACAGGTATGTATTTTAGTTAAACATTATTACACCTAGATAAACTTAATGTATTCGAAAATCAATTTTGTTTTGCATCGCGCAAGAGTAAATAATGTACGTTTTTTACATCTATAATTAGTAGTTTGTCATATTTAACAGTGTATTTATGTGACAATGATACGACTATCACCTAAACGCATTACGTATGAATGATTGGTAACCTGAACGAAATATAAACTGGGCCACCAAGGGAGAGTGAAATAATGAATGTTTTATTTAATTAATTTATATACTGAGCATCAGAAGAAAATGAGTAAGATGGAGAACGCTTGCAAAAATGTACAGCTAAAAATATTGTAAGTAATTAATGGCTGACTTTTAAGAGCAAGTAAAGTAACATACCTTCAATACTCAACTTAAATTTAACTTAACAGCTACATATTACGATTCTATACACGTATAATACTGAATGAGCATCTTTATTGTAAACACATTTAGCTTTGTTCTTTTTGCGTATACAATCAACGTTAACTTATCTTACGGAGTGGTAAGTTTGGACAAAATCGTTTGGTACGGTATATGGCAAGTGATTAACGGCGCATTTCCGTCAATTCACTTCTGTTTTTGGTAAGTACGTATACTAGAGAGGTATAAAGAGTACATAAAGCTTACCCAGAGACTTGATAAAATGATGTATGAAAATGTGCGTATTTATTCACATTGTTTTCAATTTAATCAGCTGGTCTTCGGTATAAAACACTTTTTACATGTGCACAAATTCGCTCCTGCAGTGCAACTTGGATCACAAAATTGAAAGTGGTCAAAACAGAGACTGAAATTGAAGCAGATGAAAAATAACAATTCAGAGATCAGGCAAAGAAGATAAGGAATTTTCTCTCTCATATGTAAAAAAAATATTTCATCTTGCGTGGTGGTGACTTATATTCTCAGCAAATGCGCTCTGATGCAAAAAATCTACAGAATGGGGAAACATCTAAAAGAAAATATACGACCTAACTAGATACATAAAAGTATAAATATAGATGGATTCTACTAAGTCACCTGCGTTTTGCGGATGATATCGTGGTTATTGGTGGCGACACAAAAATAATTACCAATGAGGATGTTAGAGTCAGCCTAGAAGGGAAGGCTCTTGAGATTGTCGATGAATATGTATATTTCGGCCACACCATCAATTTGCGAAAAGAAAATGAAGCAGCGGAAATATCTAGAAGGATAGGATTGAGGTGGGCATCATCCGGCAAACTGGGATAAATTCTAAAGTCCCAGAGCATTCCTATTAATCTTAAAAGGAAAGTATATTATTCCTGCATTTTCTCAGTAACAACTAAGGCTAGACGCAAATTGAGATGCGTACGACGCGCATGAGGC